GATGGCAACAACAGGTTTTCTCAAGTTAGAAACCCCGTGCCCCACGCCCCTGCCTGGAGCCAAGCACCCTGTGGCCCTCTGCCCCTCCTGCCTTAACCAGGGAGAGCCGTGCCTGGAGGCCCCCGAGAGAGCCCATCTGTCCTCCCCTGTGCCTCGGTTTCCCCATCACGGCCCTGAGCCCGCAGTCACGGCCCTGAGCCAGGAGCTGGAGGGTGGATCAGCAGCAGACAACCCAGGTGTCCTGGTCCCCCATCACCCCCTCCTGACCTGCACAGGACACAGAAAGCCCCAGATCCCACTGGCTTCCTGGTCACTCAACCACAAAGCTGCAGGAGTGCGAGGTCCCCGAGCACCCCCATGCCCCCATGTACCTGCAGTGGGCAGGGGCCGGGCACTCACCTGCCACAGCTGCAGGCTCTGCCGGCATCTGCCATCCTCCTGGCTGTGGCTTCTGGAGCTGCCTCCTAGCTCCCAGGCTGCTTTCCTTCTCCCCTCCCTCCTGGCCAGCCTCAGCGCTGGAGCATTAGTGCCGCCTCGTGAGCAGCACCGCCTGGCACTCCCGGCCTTGCCTCTCGCAGCTTCCCAGAGCCATAAACCCTGGAGCTGGCAGGAGGCCTGGCATCTCTGGCTCGGTCCGGGCTAGGGGGCCCAGGGCTTGTCCGCAGGCCTGGTGGACAGACTGCCTCTAGGCCTCTGGGACGTGCATCACTCCCGGGCTCAGCAAAGCCTCCCCTAGGCTGGGCAGGGATGTGGTGTCCCCCCTACAAATAAGCTTTAGCCCCCCAGCCTCAATCCCCAGGGGTTGCCTAGAGAAGACAGCCCCTGGCACAGATCCAACAACCTTCATGCTGGGCTGTCCAGGGCAATCACCCCAGCTCAGACCGCCCAGGGGCTCAGATGCCCCCAGCAGCACCTCTGACTGCAGCCTGGGGGAGTGGGAGGATGTCCTAACAGGCCTTTAGGAGACTTGGGGACCCTGTGTGAAGATGCAGTGCAAATCATAGCTGTTAATGCCCAGGCAGGAGCCCGGACTGCCACCACTTTGCTGTATGGTCCTGGCCAAGTCACTTAGCCCTGCAGGGCACGCATAGCGGAGGACAGGAGCTGCAGCCTGTGGGCACCTGGGCAGTACCATTCACCCCTGGGGAGCAGCCCGGCTGGCTGGGCGCTCACTGGCTTTGCCATGGTCAAGGCCACGTCCCGGTGCCGCCATCAGAAGTGAGCTGGTGACACCTAGCGCCTGCAGTGGGGAAGTGTATGGGGGGGACAGGGACGATGGAAACCGGTGTGACAGCCTCCAGGGATCGCCCAGAGGTGGAGAGCACGTCAGAGCTCACTACATTGGCG